AAATAATGCTATGTAAATGCTTTAAAAAAATTTTGTTTAAGTATTTACCTGAGATAATGGTAAATATTATTGACTGTAATGAAATGTAACCACTGCATTAAACAGTAACATCTTGATTATCAGAAAGTATGGTAGAAGCTCTCCTGACTTTCACTTAACCTACTAGCAAGATTGACCAATGCTCCCCCCCCCCCCCGCCATAAAAGCAAACTAAAAGACACTAATAGCTAATAGGGTACAACACATTTTTAGATATCATTGTTAACGTTGTTTCATTATAATGTTGACGAAAAAATAATTGATTTTTAGACGGGGGAGGGGGGTTAAGGGGTGGGAGAGTGGGCACCGTCTGTGTGGAATTAACACGTCCTCCCATGTCTGGGTGGGTTTCCTCCCACTGCCCAAAGATGTGCATGTGAGGTGAATGGGGTGTCTAAATGGTCCTAGACTGAGTATGGGTGTGTGTGTGATGCATCCTGCAGTGGAAGGGCATCCTGTCCAGGGTGGTTCGCACCTCCTGCCCTGAGCTGCTGGGAAAGGATCCAGCCACCTGTGACCCTGAGCTGGAATAAGTGGGTTGAAAAACAATTATCTGCCTTGTTGTTTTAATTTTTTTTATCTTCTTTGTTTTTATTAATCTTCTTAAATATATGTATAGCTCACATTTATTTCAATGTTTAATAGTAGAAGTGTTTTGGGTCTTTATTTGAAAGTCTGGAGATGTTTCTGTGACTAGAACTATGTCACCGGAGCTTAACTTTTGTTTATTATCAATTAGCCTATGGTAATATTGGTGTTTTTAAAATATATTTACTTTTTAAAAAGTATATATTTTTATTGATTTCAGAGAGGAAAAGAGAGAGGGAGAAACATCAAGGATGAGAGAGAATCATTGATTGGCTGCCTCCTACACACCCTGCACTGGGGATCAAGCCTGGAACCCAAGTGAAACCCAGGTATGTGCCTTGACCAGGAATCAAACTGTGATCTCCTGGTTCATAGTTCGACACCCAACCATCTAGCCACACCGGCTGGGCTACTGGTTTTGTTACACATTGTTTTACTTTAAGTTGCCATTTCCAAGAACATATCCATGACATTAAGTGAGGACTTATTGTACTTTCTAGTTGCCTGCATGCTTTTACTTCTACTAGTAGAGTTGTATGTTTAGTATCTGGTGTTTGTTCCTAAATCTGTTTATGCCAATCAAAATTAACTAGTTTATTTAAAATATTATATAGGCCAATGAAATGAGTGCAAAAAAAAAAGTCATTTCAGTGAAAACTATGTTGAATGCTTTGGAGCATATTTTGATGAATATAATTTTTGTGAGCATATACTCCCTTCTCCCTCAAAACAAATTCCTATAAGACACCTATAAAATTGTGAAACATTAAAAATAATTAAAACTTTTTAAAATTTAAAAGATTCTTCCTTCAGATTGCTCTGTAAAGTCTTATTCCATGTTAAAAAATCAAAATTAGCCCGGCCGGCATGGCTCAGTGTTTAGGCGTCAACCTATGAACCAGGAAGCCATGATTCCATTCCAGGTCAGGGCACATATGGGCTTGCAGGCTTGATTCCCAGTAGGGAGCATGCAGAAGGCAGCTGATCAATGATTCCCATCATTGATGTTTCTCTCTCTCTCTCTCCTTCTCCCTTCCTCTCTGAAATCAATAAAAAAATATATATATATTTTTTAATATATATTTTTTTATTGATTTTTTACAGAGAGGGAGGGAGAGAGATAGAGAGTTAGAAACATCGATGAGAGAGAAACATTGATCAGCTGCCTCCTGCACATCTCCCACTGGGGATGTGCCCGCAACCAAGGTACATGCCCTTGACCGGAATCGAACCTGGGACCTTTCAGTCCGCAGGCCGACGCTCTATCCACTGAGCCAAACCGGTTTCGGCAATAAAAAAATATTTTTTAAAAAATCAATTAAAAAACTTTAAAAAAATTGAAACCAGATGTTCATATGGTGTGCTTTATACAAAAAAAAAAAAGATTATCTCTGAAAAATGGACCCCATTTTACTCCCTAAAAGGGTCAGATCCTAAAAGATAGGTGAATAATTAAGGGTGTTATTTTTTTTTTAAATATATTTTATTGATTTTTTTACAGAGAGGAAGGGAGAGGGATAGAAAGTTAGAAACATCGATGAGAGAGAAACACCGATCAGCTGCCTCCTGCACATCTCCCCACTGGGGATGTGCCTGCAACCAAGGTACATGCCCCTGACCGGAATCGAACCTGGGACCTTTCAGTCCGCAGGCCGACGCTCTATCCACTGAGCCAAACCAGTTAGGGCGAGGGGGTGTTATTTTTTATACTTCCTCACTTAAAATAACTTTTTCAACTAGCCAACCATCACACCCAATCATGTAGGCATAGTATTTAGAAACTCTCTGACGCACAGCTGTATCTCACTAAGCAAATGTCTCGATGTTTCTACACTAGAATTCATACACTTGACTCAGATTCTGAATGAATACCCAAGGGTTCCCCTATTTACTCTCATTTTATAGAGAACTCAACGTTAAGTCTGGTGGTTATTTAGCTCTCTAGCCCAGAGATCTAAAGCCATGAAATTAAGTGGAGGCAAGAATAAGCATATGCATATTAGCAATGAAAACTGTTGACAGCATGAGAATTTAAAAATCAAATCTAAAACACAAGAATCTGCAGAAGTGGTTTAAGCTAGAGGCAAAAAAAAAAAATCTTATAAACTTAAAACTCTCTTTAGGGCATTTCTAGGTTATGACAGAGTTCAAAGTTGAAATTCATAACAATGCCCCATTTACTATTAAAGATTAAACTACATTGACTCTATAGATCTTTTTTTTAAAGGGCAAAGAAGCATTACTATTTTAGAGGTCTGTCCACATATCATGATTACAATCGAAAATATTTCAATTATCCAGAAAAGTCGCTCATATAGAACAGTTTCTTAGACACCAATGTAGAAAATAATGAAGTATCACTGTCAGCTAGGTAAGTGTTGCCCATAACTGTGCCTTTCCAAATGCAGGTCAAGAAATCAATTCAATGGGTTGTGACAGCAATTTTTAAAAATAGAAATAGAACAGTAAATACAAGCCACATTGCACAAACTGACGTAAGTTTTCTGTGAAAAGTTTATTTCAGTATTTCTATACTACTTTGCAAAGTAAAAGACATTACTTACTCTGGGTTCTAGTCAAAAGAAATGAGCCATGGGCCTAAAGACTCAAGTAATTATTGTGAAATATAATTACAGTACCAAACTTGCAATCCCATCATTTTTACACCATAATGCTTAAGAAAGATACAGTTTTAGAGAGGAAAAAGTTACTTCTTCAGGAGTCTTGATGAATAAATTTATTTATTTTCCCTAATAATCTATACTAGTATACAACTAACATTTTATCATGTTTAGTACTAGTTTTGGCAAAAACAGAGATTGTGTGCAAATATTTTTGAACTTTTTACAACCTTAAAAGCAACTTTTAACAACAATGAAAACCCCCCAAACAAATAGCAACTTTGATTTTACTTGCTTGTTTTTTCTTTTTAAAAAAAAAAAATATTTTTTTTTATTTATTTCAAAGAGGAAGGGAGAGGGAGAGAGAGATAGAAACATCAATGATGAGAGAGAATCATTGATTGGCTGCCTCCTGCTTATTCCCTACTGGGGATCGAGCCCGCAACCCAAGCATGTGCCCTTGACTGGATCCAAACCCGGGACCCTTCAGTTCACAGGCCGACGCTCTATCCACTGAGCCAAACCAGCTAGGGCACTTGTTTTTTCTGAGATGCAGTTAGTGACCTTGGTGCCATTTTTCCAAAGTCACTGATGTAATCTAAAAGTCTAAAGAAACCTGGGATTCTACACAAACAATCTGCTTAGTAGCAATATACTTACTAATACGCCATGCATAACTAGCTGATTTTAAGAAACAGCTTAACTGTTTAAACTAACTTAAGCCACTAAGTTAAGTATGGCTTTCTCCACTTCTAGTGCATTTAAAAAACAAAACAAAACACTAGCTCCGATGACTAGAAAAGAAAATTTCTCTCTCTAATCCACTTTGGGAAAAATAACCAGTTTAATACATCTCTTTTTTAAAAATGAGCATCTAATTCATATGAGGATAAATTAACATTTCCACACCTAAATCCTCAGATTTGGAAGGAACTTTGTCATCTAGTCCAACTCCCTACCAAATACAATAATCATCTTCTTACCATCTCTTTTGGAATCAAATCCCCATCTGACTGAAAAGCCTTCACTCCTAACTACTACTATATTAAAATCTCATCTTGGTCCATGCCATTAATCAAAAGAAAACTGATAAATGAGTTTTCAGTTCCTCTGAAGTCCTTAAAAAACAGTGTATACATTATTCTCATAAGTCCTGAAAATACAGGCGTGAAAAGGAAATGACACATTTACTTATCATTAGGGATTTCAATTGCCCTAGCTGTCCATATATTGCTATATTGAATAAGGCCCTGGAGTACTTGGCAAAGTTTTAGAGTTTGCCTAAGGCACAAAAACCAGCTAATGAAAGCGACACAAATAATAAAATAGTATTTGTGAACTCAAACAGTCTTACACTAAATTTTCCTCAACAGATCAAGTTCACATTCTTAAGTTGAAAAAGTCTGTAAACCTCTTTAAAACTGAAGTTAGACTGACTTTACCTCAAATGAGTAATGTAACTCTAAAATGATACCAAGTATTGTGGCAACAGTTACAAATGCTGTGCTTGACAATCTCATTTTGAGTTACAACAGAACTTCTCTTGAAATTACTTCAGTTTTGAAGACTGCATCCTCCCATCTAGATCCTAACTGTCCCTTCCATGCCCCCTTCTCTACCTTCCCAGCTGGAATCTGTAAAGAAATAAGCAATCATATGTAATACACAAAAGGTTGGTCCTCCCATAGAATGAGGTTAACGCTTCTAAAATGGGGCATGGGGGTGAAAAGCCTACTTAAGTAAGTCATTTACCTCGGTCTGGCTTCATTTTCACATCCAATGTCCACCCAGGGTGCTGTGAAATACACGTGTGGGTTCTTTCAACAGGCTCGCCGCAGATTCTGTGGCTCCTGCTGTTAGCAAAATGCTAAAAGAGACCACAATAAAATTGATCAGGTCCTGCTCTAACACTCAGAACTTGCAAGAAAACTACTGTTAACACTTAGGCCTCTTCCTGGCACTAACTGCGGTGACAGCACCATCGGCAGGTTTGAAAGAAATTAAAACTCTTTCTGCACCGCCTCCCCCAACTCCTCCGGACCCAGCAGCCCTCTTCCCTGCCCGGTGCTCTCCAGGCCAAAGTGTCCTTCCTTGACACAGTGTCTCTGAACCAAAAGGAAGATCTATTTATAACCTGGAGGTACTGGCAAGGGGGGAAAAAAAAGACTCAAGCAACACAAGCTAAATAACCCCTTTGTAAACAAAAAACAAAAAACCCCACGCCGCTGGGAACAGTGGCACCGCCGCAGGGGCTGGAATAGGAATCCTCCGACCTGGTGCCTGGGCGCAGGAATCTCTGCGAACCGCCCCTGGCGCCTCCCGAGCGCTGCAGCCGCCTCACCTGTGTCATTACCCTCCGGCTAGCCTTCCTGCGCCGCCCCGGCCAAGTTTACACAATACGAGGGCCAGCGAGCTCAGCGAGTCACCTCCCCGCGCCCCGCCCCCCGTCCCAAGCGCACTCAGCGGGGCCGTCCGGGGTCCCCCCGCCCACCCAGGCTCTGCGCGGCGGAGCCCGAGGTCGCCCGGGCAGGTTCACGGCTGGGCGCTCGCCCCGCTCTGCGCAGCCGTCCCGCGCGGCCGCCCCTCCCTCGGCCCCGCCAGCCCCTCTCCCCACCGGGGAGTTGTTTTCCCGGCCCCCCCGGCCGACCTCAGCTGCCCAACTCGCTCTCTGCGGTCCCGATCCCTCCTCTTGGCACTTCTCAGCCGCTCGCGGCGACTCGCATCACACTCCCCCCGGAGACGGGAGGCTCGGACAGGCGCAGGGCCGGCGGGAGCGGAGAGCGGCGCGCAGAGGCCCCCCGCGCCGCGTTAGGGGACCATGGGGGCCCGAGAGGACCAGTCGGACGTGGCTGCCCGGCGCCCCTGTGGCCATGCACCCCCGCCTCGGCGGCCGCCTCGCTGCTCCCCGCACTCAGCCCCTCGCCCCGCCGACGCGCGCCCGAGCCCTGCGGCCCCCCGCCGGCCCGCCTGCCCCGCGCCTCGGCCAGCTCTCCGCCTGCCTCTGCTCCGGCGCCCCGCTCCCGGTCCCCCCTGCTCGCCCAGTTCTTTCTCTGCTGTTTGCCCTGTCAAAACACTGCCCGGGTCACGTGTCCCAACAACAGCCAACCCACCGCTCGTCACTTCCTCCCCGGCGGCCTCCGCGCTGGCGCCCAGTTGTTATGGCAACGCCCCGCGCGCCCCGGGGCGCTGGTTGGAGGGGCTGGGGTGTGGGTGCAGGTGCCCCGAGGCTGGGAGGGCGCGGGGGTGCCGGCTGCGAGCGGCCGGCGGAGCCCGGGAGGCCGGAGCGGCTCGAGGCGCTCCGGTGGCGGTCGCCTCCCGTCTGAACTCTGAGCTCGGAGCCAGCTGCAGCGCGTCTGGGACCAGGAATCTGAGCTGCGCTATTAGAACACAGGGTGACTGGGGAGATGTCATCCGAGGGCCTGCCCCAGACGTGGAGGATAATTTTAGTCTCCTCCTTCGCCGCCTCCTCCTCCACACGCGAGGCTGGCGCAGAGTTCTGTCTGAGCACCAAGTGGATTGCAGCGCACGGTGGACCCCGCGGCTAATGTGGTCAGGACAGGAGAGTGGGCAGCCGTGCGCATCGGGGATTCGGAAGTTTAAGGACAAACCCCTCGGACTCTAGATTTTCCCCAATCCTTGGGGATTTTTGCAGGATTCGGAACCCAAGCTCCGGAGGCACTGACTGTGCTAAAAATAACTTGTATAACATCTAAGACACTGACTCATGCCAGGAGGGCACTATTGACACCATGTTATTGTTGGGGAGCTGTAATTTTCTTGTTTGCTGTAACAATGTGACATGACATTTCGGTTGTGATGTTGTGTCATCACGCAAACACAAACAGATGACAAGGATCTGCTGTAATTTAAAAAAGCAATCCTAGCAAGTACTGAAGCTATTAGCTACTCAGTGAATAGGCAAAGTACAGATGGGGTTGTGAGCTCAAAACAGAGGCAAGGAGAAGTACGAAATTCGCCATGCTCTTTGGTTTCATTAGGAGAAGATTTTTTTAGAAATAATTTTGCATACAAGAATCACAACAGGGAAGGTCTACAGGTGATTTACTTTTGTCTTTGTACTCTTCTGTGGTTTCCAAGGTTTTTCAGTGAGTATGTATTACTTTTACTTCAGAAAAGTTATTGGGAAGTATGAAATTGGAAATTGCATTTTTTTGCCTCAGATCTATCAAATACATGAAATTTCTTTTATGAAAAATTAGTAATATGTTCTAGATGTGTTGATATGTACTGTAAAATTACATTCACAACTGCAATTATCAGCCTTAACTCTAAGATTGTATCTAATCAAAACAGGGCAGTCCTGGCCAGGTGGTTCAGTAGGTTGGAGTGTTGACCTGTACAACAAAAGGTTTCTGGATAGATTCTGGTCAGGGCACATACCTCAGTTTCAGGTTAGATTCTCAGTTGGGGCCTCTTTGGGAGGCAACGGATAGATGTTTCTCTCTCCCTTCCTCTCTCTAAACTCAATAAAAGTATTTCCTCAAGTGAGGATTTAAAAAAAACAGCAAACAAACAAACACACATACAAAAACAAGGCAGCCCGGCTGGTGTGGCTCAGTGGTTGAGCGTGGACCCATGAACCAAGAGGCCACCGGTTCAATTCCTGGTCAGGGTCCATACCCAGGTTTCGGGCTTGGTCCCCAGTAGAAGGGAGAGGGTGTGCACGCGCAGGAGGCAGCCGATCGATGATGTTTCTCTCTCATCAATGTTTCTATCTCTCTCCCTTCTTCTCTCTCTAAAAATCAATAAAAACATATTTTAAAAAACAGAGCAAAACAACCTTGGACAGGTAGCTCAGTTGGTTAGAGCATCATCCCTATACAACCAAGGTTGTGGGTCCATTCCAGTCAGGGCACATTCAAGAATCCACCAATGAATGCATGCATAAGTGGAACAACAAATTGATGTTTTTTTCTCTCTCTCCCTTCATCTCTCTCTCTCTCTTTATTGATTTGAGAAAGAAAGAAAAAAACAGGACAGGACATACAGGAAGGTAACATTTTGTTTTCAAGGAAATGTTCTGATGAAGATGAAACTTCTGACCAATAGTAACAGTTCTTTATATAATGGCTACAAATGTTAACTCTCAGTGAATTTGGCTCTGATATTATTGAATAGTGTATTATGTAGTTTCTTTTATGAACTGAAGTTTCACTTGTTCTACAATCACTTCTCAATTAACCTTGGTAATGGGAGACAGAAAGAACAGTTACAGATAATCCAAAATCCTAAATTTAGCACAACAGCTGGGACCAGATAACAACTATTGTAAAAGGCTTACTGGGTAAACAAGCCAGCAAGATCTGTGATTTAGTTTCCTTTTCTCTGCTTAATTTTCAAGAGGTATAAAGATCAGAAAAAAATATTGAGAGCAAAAGCTGTAAATATTGGATAATCTGGAACACAAACTAACAAATTCTCTTTTAAATAATTAAGTTAACAGCATGTGAATAAATGATGTTGTCTAAGCGTTTGTTAGACTACCTTGAAACTTTTTTTTTTTTTTTACCTTGAAACTTTTTATTGAGAATCTTAGGTCTGTTAGAAATTGGAGATCATTATGGCATTGGAAAAAGTATTCGAAAGAGCTATATTTTTGACTCATTCATTCATTATTCAAGTTACTATTTTGTTCACTCAGCACATATTTACTGAACACTCACTATTTGCTAGGCACATGCTAATCTCTGTGAATACAAAGGTCACCAAAAACAGGGTGACTATTCTCATGGAGCTTCCAGTACTCACTACTGTAGTTGCATGGTCTTGGCCAAGTCATATTCTTCAGCCTTCTTTCATCTACAAAAATGAGGTGCTTGGACTCTGACAATAAATAATCTCTTTCCTTTCTAGTCCTAAACCAATCCTGTGTTTGCATAAAACCTGTCTAGAGTATTTAGAAGTAAGAACCTACCTACAATAGCAACTCTAAAGGTTGGCAATAAGTGGGTTTGCATCTTGGGGCACCCAAGCAAAACAAACATCTCTGGTTCATACTTGGTCAGGGGTGAGGGTAGGCAAGGCAAGAAAGTCAAAACAACTGGCAGGACCGTACCCTTTTTCCCATCTGTTTTGTTCTCCATTTTGCTTTCCCCTGGTGTTCCAACAATTATGCGCAGCTACCTTCAAAAATGTTAACTCATCTTCAGCAAGAAGGTAATCCCCTCAACTTTTACAGGTTTGGTTGAAATGGGCAGTATTTAACAAAGCTGTGTAGTTAATAGAGGGCTCTATAAGTTCTCTTACCAAGGTGATTAAAATAGCTGGTGTGCTCACTTTATTATTCCAAGGCTGTTACCATAGCCAAGGTCATGGCACCAGTCCAGGCTATGATAATGAGCTCCATCAAAGTAGGGACTGGTGCCTTTTTTTTCTCTTGTTATCTCTAGCACCAGGTAAAGGACCTGGCACAGAGTAGGAGCTCAATACATGTCAACCTTTATAATGACCAATGAAATTTTCTTGCACATACCCATAAACTGTACCCTGATATCAACTGGCATTTCTCCCTAGTGGGATAAAGCTTAAGAATTGGGAAAACAGGATGTGAGGGCGATTTGGCTGCGACATCTGTCACCCCAATAATCACCAGGGTTGATTCGGCTGATCTGGCTGGCTAGGCGGGTATCTCCCTCTTCCCTCACAGATCCATGGTGCGTCCCTCCCTAAGGTCAAAGAGGACGACCTTCCCCCCAGAGGAGAGGACCCGTCTTTGGTCAAGGATATACGAGTAGCTGCGCTCCCCTGCTAGAACCTCCAAACAAGCTCTCAAGATCCAAGACTCCAGACACATCCAAATGAGGTGCTGCACATGGCAGTCTTTCTTTAAAAAAAAAAGAAGAAAAAAAAAGAATTGGGAAAACAGTGTGTGATACAAACTTTCTATGTGAAGAATACATTTTAATTGCACTTTCGGTGGTGTCTCGTTACAGTAGGAATGTGTCGTGGGTTGAGTTGTGCCCCCCCCAAAATAATATGTTGAAATCCTAACCCCTGTACCTGTGAATGTGACCTGATTTGGAAATAGGGTCTTTGCAGATGTAACAAAGTTAAGATGAAGTTAGGCTGCATAGGGATGGATGCTAAATCCAATTACCAGGAACCTTATAAAGTGAGAGAGATATGAAGACAGAGAGACCCAGAGAAGATGGCCATGTGACAAGGCAGCAGAGATTGGAATGATGCAGCTGCAAACCAAAGAATACAAAAGATTTCTGGGAGCCCCCTGAATCTAGTAAGAGGCCAGTATGGATTCCCCCCAGCGATGTCAGAGGGAGATGGCCCTGCTCATACCTTCACTTTGTTCTTTTCTCCTTCAGAACAAAGAATAAATTTCAGTTGTTTT